CAGTCAGGCTGCTGGGCAGTGCCTGGCCCTGGGCGGCCTCTACACCAGCAGTGGGCACCGTTTGCAGGAGGCCGAGGTCCTGGGTCCACCTGGCTGGGGCTTCTGCGATCCCAGTGGACAGAGGTGGCTTTGCTTAGGTGGCCTCTGGCCGGTCCGGGGTCTCTGGCCCCCGTAGGAAGGGTCTTTCTGGGGCAAGACACGGCTGTTATGAAGCCGGGTTGTCCTTTCCTTCACTCAGCGACACGTTTTGGGGGCTGCTTTGGACCAGGCCACGGGAGCCGCTGGGAGCAGGGCCGAGGCACCCGCCTCCTCTGGCCAGAGAGCCAGCTTGGAGGGACTGGGGGTACCCGGGGGACACTCGGCTTGAGTGGGGGTCCCTTCTCAAAGGAAGTGGCCTCGTCTCGTCTGAGACCTACTGGTCAGGCAGGGCCTGGGCCGCCCAGGGCTGCGGCCCGTGGGCAGGGCCTTCGGGAGAGAAGGGGGCGACCTGTGCCACTGGGCAGAGCGGGGCTCTTGAGCTGGTGACAGCACCCGCCACGTGGCCTCTGTCCCTCCTGTGTCTCCTCCTTTCTTTTTGTGGCGCTGGGGACTGACCAGGGCCTGTGTGGGCGAGGCAGCCTCTCCCAACCCTTCTTCTCCTTCTCCAGGGCAAGATCCTCTGCCCGTCCCGCTGCCCACCTTCCTGGTAGCCGGGGGAAGCCTGGCCTTCGGCTCGCTGCTGTGCATCGGCATCGTCCTGAGGTGAGCCGGCCGGGGGTCTCCGTGACGTCCTGTGATTCGGATCTAGCTGCCCTTCACCAGGAACCACCGAGTGTCCAGGGGCTGGGGACGGGCTGGGTGTAGAGCCCTGGCCTGGGGAGCAGCGCGCCCCGGGTTCTAGCCCAGCAGCGTGTGCACGCACACACACACACACATGTGCACGCACACATACACACACACACGTGCACACACACACACACATGTGCACACACATGCAACACACACGCACACACACACACACACAGAGAAGCGCTTTGGGGTCTTGGGAGGCTCCGGCTGGCGGGCGTGGTGGTGCACCCCTGTGATCCCAGTGACTCAGGAGA